GAAGGGATCATGCTAAAGAAAGAAGTCGTGAATTTATAATATCTGGAAAATACACAAAACAGGTTTTGAATGAACTTTCATTTCAATTAACGGATGACCAAATCAAAGCGATAGAAGAAATCTCAGAGAAGCAAAAATCTAGATATCGCATGGTAAACTTATTGCAGGGTGACGTGGGTAGTGGAAAAACTGTAGTTGCACTCTTTGCGATGTTAAATGCAGTGGAGAATGGTATGCAAGCAGCCATAATGGCACCAACAACTATTCTAGCTGAACAACATTATGACTGGATTGAGGAAGCTTTATCTGCCACTAATATAAAGATTGCGCTTCTTACAGGTAAAACAGCACGCAAAGAAAAAAAACTTATTATAAATGAGCTTGCAAGTGGTATGTTAAATATAGTGGTTGGCACTCATGCACTGTTTCAAGATAAAGTAGCATTCAAAGATCTAGGACTTGTAGTAATAGACGAGCAGCAAAGATTTGGGGTAATGCAACGCAATCGTTTAATAGAAAAAGGTAATAATACTGACATACTTTTTGTCACTGCAACACCGATTCCAAGAACACTACAGCAAGCTATATATGGTGATATTGAGTGCTCTGTTTTGAAGGAAAAGCCAAAATGTAGGTTGCCAGTCAAAACTGTAGCTATCAGTATGAAAAAGTTGGAAAGTGTTATTGAAAGGTTGAAAAATGCAGTAAATAGAGGTGAAAAGGTATATTGGATTTGCCCATATATAGAAGAGAGTGAAGATCTTAATATCGCTGCAGCGGAAATACGTTTCCAAGTATTACAGAAAATATTTCACGACAAGGTTGGCATCGCACATGGAAGACTAGCTCAGGATCAGAAGGACCAAGTCATGTTTTCCTTTAAAAGAGATGAAATTTCTTTGCTTGTTGCAACAACAGTGATAGAAGTTGGTGTAGATATACCAGATGCAACTATTATGATTGTGGAGAATGCAGAGCAATTTGGATTATCGCAATTGCATCAGTTAAGAGGTAGAGTAGGGCGGGGAAGTAAGCAATCTTTTTGTATATTACTGTACGATAATTTGAGTAGGAGTGCATATTCAAAATTAAAAATTATGCGTGAATCGCAAGATGGATTTTATATTGCCGAAAAGGATATGGAGCTTAGGGGAAGTGGAGATATTTTAGGTGTAAGGCAGTCCGGATACACAGGGTTTAAATTTACTGATTTATATAAAGATAAAGAGCTGCTTAACCTTGCATATAATGAAGCACAAAACATATCTTCTATAGATGACCAATTGAAAGTATTGATGAAAATATTTGGATATGAAGAAAAGTTAAGTTTTTTATAACTTACCAATATAAAGTTGCCTTGGTCTGCAAATTTTTGTCTCTTTATCGTGTGCCATCTCATACCACTGGGCAACCCAACCTGTTGTTCTTGCAAGTGCAAAAATAGGTGTAAACATTCTTGAAGGTATTCCAATAGCATTCATTATTATACCCGAATAAAAATCGACATTAGGGTACAGTTTCCGCTCAATAAAATACTCGTCCTTTAAAGCTATTTCCTCAAGTTCTATTGCAATTTCCAGCAACTTGTCATTTTGTGTGAGTTCACTTAAAACTTCATGGCAGACATCTTTCATTATCCGTGCACGTGGATCATAGTTTTTATAAACACGGTGCCCAAATCCCATTAACTTAAACGGGTCTTTATCGTCCTTGGCTTTTGCAACAAATTTATCTACATTGCCACTCTGCTCTATTTCTTTTAACATGTTTATTACTGCCTCGTTAGCACCGCCATGTGCTGGGCCCCAAAGTGTTGCAACTCCCGCAGCGAGACACGCAAATAAGTTAGAACCTGCTGAACCTGAAAGCCTTACAGAAGCTGTAGAAGCGTTTTGTTCATGATCGGCATGCAGGATAAATATTTTATCCAAAGCTTTCGTGAGTAGAGCAATGTTCTCGTGATTACCAAACATCATTCTCACAAAACCTTCGCTATAGCTCAATTCACTATCTATGCTATTTACAAATTCTTGGTTATTAATATGCCTATAGATCATTGCAACAATAGCAGGAACTTGTGCTATTGCAGAGATTCCAAAATTTAAGTCTTGACCATTGACGTTATTTCCATGCTGCTCATAATAAGATGCAGCTAAACTTGCATAGCACGCAATAAGAATTGACATAGGGTGAGCACTGCTCGGAAACGCCTTAACAATATTTATAATTTGCTCTGATACTTTTATCTTCGGCAAAAATTGCTTATGCTCTTCTGAAGTTGGTAATTTACCGTAGAGTAGTAAATAAATTACTGATGTAAAATCATAATCTTCTGCTAGATGATTGACATCATATCCTCTGTATTTTAATATCCCCGCATCTCCATCAATAAATGTAATTGAAGAAGAGCATGATGCTGTTGACACGAACCCAGGGTCGTATGTAAATAAACCAGTAGTCCTATATAAATCTTTTACGGCCAATACTCTGGGACCTATTGTACCATCTAATACAGGTAACTCAATTTCTATACCATCCTCTAATTTTAAAAATACCTTTTGACTCATAACATTTAGCTTTTATATAGGTACACGAGATAAATAGTATACATTTATCAGATTAACTTTATATTACTAATGCTTTTAGCCTTACATTTAAACGGCTTATTTTACGTGCAACAGTATTTTTATGCATTACACCTTTGCTAACACACTTACATAATTGAGACTCGGCATTACGAAATGCTAAAATAGCATTCTCTTTGTCACCGGACTTAATGATATCCATTAATCTTCTAACTGCAGTGCGAGCTTTACTCTTACGCATTTTATTGATTAAAGTACGTTTTGCTATCACTTTTATCATTTTTTTAGCACTTTTATGATTTGCCATATATCCAATCCTAACACTAAATTTAGTTTTTATTATAAGATGTTTTCACAAATTTGCAATATCCATGCTTTTATTTTCAATGGCTTGCTCTAAAGTTTTTAAGAAATCGTCTTTATTCAATCCAGGATATATCGGAGATAGTATCTCGATCACTGCTGTTCCAGGCTTTCTTCTCATAGATAAAATACTTTTTGGCCAAAATAAACCAGTATTTAAAGCTACTGGGAGTACTGGAACAGATAGTGCTTTATATAAGGCGGCGATACCAGGTTGATATTTTATATTGCGTTGTACGCCTGTTCTTGTGCCTTCTGGAAATATTATTATACTTCTATTTTCTCTAATATGGATTTTTGCTAACTTGATTATATCACGCAAAGAACCTATCCCATTTGAACGATCAATAAAGATCATTTTTAATGCCATGAGATGCAGACCAATAAACGGAATCCATTTTAACTCTCGCTTTAACACAAAGACTGCTCCTTTAAATAAAACAATAAAAATAAATGTTTCAAAAGGAGACTGATGTTTAGAAGCTATTATGTAAGGTTGCTTTGGAACATTTTCCATGCCTCTCACTTCGTACTTAATACCACACAATAAATGTAGGGAAAATAGTACAACCTTTACTGCACATATAAGAAAAAAAGTTATTACACAAGTAGGAAGAATGATTATTGGAAGAGTAATAAGGGTGTATAATAACTCCCATAATATTAGAAACAGGTTAAACAATAAGTTAACGTTCACGAAATTTATCTTAATATTATATATATTAGCCTAATTTCTATTTCAAATACAGACCTAATTGCTTGTTATTTGATTTATAGGATGTGACTCAACTACCTTATTCTTTAGCTTCTCATTTGCAACGTGAGTGTATATTTGCGTTGTAGAAAGGTTTGCATGGCCAAGTACTTTTTGTATTAACACAATATTCGCTCCACTATCCAACAGGTGTGTAGCCAGGGAATGTCTGATCACATGTGGTGACACTTTTGCTGTGTCAATATTACATTTTCTTGCTAAATCTTTCATCAACTGACCAATTCTCTGCCTAGTGATCGGAAGTTGATGCCTATTACCAGGAAATAACCACTCAGAAGTTTTCCCAGTAGGGATAAAATGGTCACGTACATGAAGATAGCGTTTGAGGCTCCTTACCGCATCTTCACTGAAAAAAACCTGCCTTTCTCTACCACTTTTACCTTTTATTATTATATAATACTCTTGACTATTTTTGTTACTATCACTCACTAATTTTAATACTTCATTTAACTTTATATTAATAAGCTCGGAAATACGCATACCGGAAGAATAAAGAACATCTAAAATAGCGCATAGTCTTATGCTATTTACTTCTTTATTAGACTTATTCGCTAACTCTTTCAATGTGTTAACCATGTAAAGTATTTCTTCAGTGCTTAAATATTTGGGCAAAGAACGTGAAACTTTGGGATTTTTAAATGCATCATCACTGGGTAAAGCAGGGTTGAAGTCTATTATTCCGTCATTGAACAGAAATTTATAGAAATGTTTTACAGCGGATATCTTCCTTGATGCAGAAGTGTTTTTATATTCTCTTTGTAAGCACTTCTCAACAAATTCCTTAAGATCACTCTTATCTGCAGCAATTAAAGTAGTATCACGCTCCTCCAATAAAAATTTTTCAAGTTGGTACAAATCTGAGCTGTAGCTTTCGAGAGTGTTCCATGTAAAAGACCTTTCAGCAGCCAAAGCATCTAAAAAATAGGTGATATAAAAATTCTCTTTCCTATTTTTACTTCCTATCCCCACTTTATTTTTATTACTTATCTCCATTCTCATCTCCTATAGTTATTTCTTTCACTAAAACGTGATTAGCAACATTATTTACATTTACGTTTCTTACTAAAAAATAGAACGCAAGCAAGATTATTACTAGTATAATAGATATAGTAAGAGACTTTTTTAATCCTTTTTGTGTATGTTGCCTCATTTTCATCATTATCCTACACTATAACATAATAAATATTCATTATAACC